TTTTTGAAATGGAAGGTGGTGCTAGTTCAGCAGAGGAAGTAAACTGCAATGAAACAAAGATTCCAGTTTGCAGTTTACAGAAAATCTGATCCAAAAGTTCTGTATGTATTTTCAAAAACTGAAATCCCATTTGTTCCCCCACAGCTAAATTAAGAATGTGCTATTTTGAGCTAGTGAACATTATCCCAATGTACTGAAAACACAGACAAAAATCCAGCAACTTTCCAGGGTTGACAAGATTATCTCAGGCCTCAGCTATCTTGCTTTGCACTGTGCTAGGAAACAGCTGATGGTAAGATGAGCTCTGATACGTGTCCAGCTGCAGTCCCCACACCAAGGAGCTGTCTCTGCTACCCAGCAGGCTCTCTGTGCTCTGAAGTGTTTTCTGCAGTGCTCGTTGGGATGCACAGTGGAAGCAATTGCAGTGTTTTTCTTCTTGAAAAGTCCAAACCTTGCCAAGACCTTTCTTCTGCTGTTATGTCCTTGCCCTCTTGGAGACCAGCACCTTTAAAAAGGCTCCCTCAGTTGAAAGAATGCTGCCTTCCACAGCCCTCAGGAAGCATGGTGAGGCCTGGAGACACAGCTGTCAATGTGTTGTTGGGTGGCTTCAGCTTTGGAAGCTGTCTGGAGTGTAAGAAGTGGAATAACCTGGAACAGAAGCCACTTGGTCACAGAACACACAGACTTGGAGTATCACTTGTGGCAGTAAACGTGGTCTGGAATAAGAGGAAGAAGACAAACAACAAGAACCACTTTGTATGAGCACCAGGTCAGAAATATGCAATCATTGCTGTCTGCAAGTTCAGCAACCTGCTCAGTACTTAGAGCAGGAAGTTTCCAGATCTCATTGTGATACCAGGATGGCTGAGCATCCTCTTTCTCACTCCAGAAAACCTTCTGCCAGTCTTTATCTGGCCTCTTCCTTGAGGCAGCCACATACTCTCATGTTTCATGGCTGGTTCCTCTCACTCATCTGGTCCATAAGGGCTCTGTTAGCTAAAGTACAAGGATGTGGGAGGCAAAACAAGTAACAAGAACTGTCAGAAATAGGTTCCTATGTTTCTGCCTTTCTGTAAAGAATGCCTCAGCCCCTTGCTCTTGATCCATTGCTGGTGGGTGTGATTTCTTCTGCCCTTCCTCTTAGTCATGGCCCCAAGTCCATGACTGTCCTGGGACTGCCTGAATCTTTCACTTTGCAAGATAGGAACCAGGACTCCTGGCTAGTCTAGGCAGATTCATCTGTCGAGGTCAAACTTTACAGTGTTGAAATGCCACAGTGATGAGATCCTGGACTCAGGGACAGACAGTTGAAAATGGGCTGGTGTTGGCTACAGATCAACATTTAAACACGGAGCATGGTCAAGGGGGAACAGACGATGCAGAGGTGAGGGAGCCACGGCAGGATGGAAAGCAGCCTCTGAACTCAACTCAAATATATTGTGCAGAGATTCATTAGTACCAGCGGCAGCCTGTGGTGTTACAGAGCTCTGTAAACTTGCTATGACACAAGTGACAGATACACATTATTGACACAGTAATTCCAGCCAGTTAGCCAGTTCTCTCAAGCTGATACAGAGTACACACAGGTCAGTTCAGTATTCCTAAGGTAAAGACAATAGACAAACAAGTCATGAACAGACAAGCCTTCAGCTCTTACCAGTTCATTTAGCTAGCAGGTAATTCTTTACTGAAAACAGTATGAGAGTGCAGACAGAGGAAGTCTCTAAAGGCCAAATAGAAGAATGTATCTGGAAGCTTCTACCATGAAGTAAGTAGCTGGATTTGCCCCAGGATTAAATAACATGTTGCTACTGCAGTCTTGGGCCACAGAGCACCTCGAAGAGCAGCTGCCTGGTTGCTGGGTTTGTTGTTCCCTTATACCTGCAAAGACACAACATTTGCCTTGTTGTCATGCTAGCCCAAAGAATGAAACTACGTCTGCAGATTAATCCCTGAGCATTACTAAATTTAATCCCAAACGTTACTACGTTTGCAGATTAATCCCTGAGCAAGGGGTTCTCTGAATACAAGGCAGCCCAATGTGGGGCACAAAGGGCACAGATTTTCATTGGGATGGACTAGACTGAATTTATAGCTGTTATTGCAGTTCAACTAGTAATGAGCTGGCTGCTGTGCCTGCCGCAGGACTTGCTTGCCTGCCTGTAAATTACATTCTGGTGCTCACTGGTGGTTGCTGCTGCTGTGCTGCTGATCACCTCACTGTGTTGTGCCTGGGAGTGCTTTGGTGACAGCCATGGTGATGGGCCTGGGCTGGCAGGTGGCCAGGGCATTGCTGCTGTTTCTGTGCTGCTGCACTGGGCAGGCTGGAACCCCAGTGGGAACTGGGTGGAAGGGGCTGTGACCTGCAGAGGAGCCCATGACCAAAAAGGATCTGGGGTGGAGATTGTAATGGATACACCTTTGTTGTAAGCCGTGATTTGAGCTGTATGTTACAGGAATTAGTATAACAGGAACCACCCAAATAAATGGAGGAAAAGGCTCCCAAGAAGCAGCTGCAGGGCAGAACTGGCCTGACCTAAGCTGGCCTTGGTGTCCTGTACCTTACACAGCACCCTTCCTGTCCCAAGTAACCACCAGAACAGATGGAGCAAAGTCATGAACTAAATTAACTCAAAGGACATTTTGTAGACATTTTGAGGGCATTTTGCAAGGGAAGTCCATAGACTAAGGGAATGACATCTGTGTATTATATCCAAGGGTGGGAGGCGGGGTTAATGATGTTGTACTGAGTAGTGTGGGACCTGAGCATGAAGTGAATGATAAGGAGTACAGGTGGAATGTGTTTGTTTTGTCTTGATTTTCTTCACAGTGGCTTTGGTTTGGATTTGTCGTGGACACAGGGTTGATAATACAGAGGTGTTTTTGTTATTGCTGAGCAGGGTTTACACAGAGCCAAGGCCTTTTCTGCTTTTTGTACCCACCCCACCAGTAGGAAGGCTGGGAGTGCACGGGAAGCTGAGAGGAGACACAGCCAGGACGGGGACCCCAGCTGGGTGGGGAATATCCAAAGGGATATTCCAGGCTGTGTGACATCATGCTCAGTATGTAATGTCGGGGAAGAAGGAGGAAGGGGGGATGTTTGGAGTGATGGTGTTTGTCTTCCCAAGTAACCATCATGTGTGATGGGCCATGCTCTCCTGGAGGTGCTCATGGGAAGCAGTGAATAGAGTCCTTGCTTTGCTTTGGTTATATGTGTGGCTTTTGCTTTGTCTATTAAACTGCCTTTATCTCAACCCATGAGTTTTCCATCTTTTGTCCTCCCAGTTCTCTCCCTGGCCCCACTGGTGGGGGAGTGAGCAAGCTGCCTGGGGCTGGGCTGCTGGCTGAGGTTAAACCACAACACCGTGGCAACAGAAGAAAGGAGGGGAGAGGCTTGTCAAGAAAAAAAATAAAATTTAGGGGTTAAAAATACACCAAGAGGGTTAGCAATGGCACAGAAGGAGACAGACTGTGGATAACGATTACTGCTAATAGTCAACAGTTCCTTGAGCTGCCGAGGTCCTTCCTGCAGTGCAGTTACTGACAATACCACAGCCATCGACCTAGTTACTGCAGGGTTTCCGTTCCCAGCATTCACAGCCAACACTGACTTACTTCAATTTCACAATTATTAATGCTTTGCTTAAAGCTACAGCAACTGGAATCGAGTGATCGCTGTGGAATCTCAGCTTTTGCTTAAACAGATAAGCACAATGTGAAGCTTCTCACCGTCAGAGAAAAACCTGATAAGATGAATTCCCAAAGGTCAGAAGCCATGATGATAAACAAGGAGAACCTAGCCCAATATAGGGTTAAAGTATTGTGATTTTTAAAGCACACCTAGTACTTTTGAGGGGTTTCCTTAATTTTCTCATTGTATTCCTACAGGAGTACTTGGGAAAGAAGGGACTGGCTTTAGAAAAGGAAACATTCATTAGCAAAACTTAGCACAAAAGGCAGCAGGAACATGTTTAAATCAGCTGGGAAAGGAAAAAGCCAAAGACCTGCACAGACTGCACAAAATGAAGAAAACCCCATTACAAGGAGGTAGAGGAAAGCAGGCAGGATATTTTTTGCTTTCCTTCCTCTTCGTCTTCCAATCTGACTCTCTCAGACCTTGCTTTCACCTCCTTCTGGAAGGGAGGAAGCCAAGCTTCCCATAATACTGTGAGCTCAGCTTTACAAGCTGGAGACAAAAGAGGAAACCAAACACAAAATAAGAACCTTTGGATTGGCCAAACAAGGATTCCTAGAAGTAATTATCACAAAGGCAAGATTTGTTAGCACTCAAATTACCAAAGTGAGGATTAGTCCTACATTCCTCTCAGGGGGAGATAGAGGTGTGCATTTTTACTTCCCAGTGTGAGAGTTTCCTAAGCAAGTCAGGGATTTGCTCTGTTACTCTCAGTAGGCTGTGTTGCTTATTAATTAGCTTGATTCAGGCTCTCATACAGGTGATGTCCAAGTAGATCTGGTCCACCCTTAGGTGACAGGGAAACCTTCATCACTGTGCTCTGGGTGCCCAGCAGTGAAGCCTTAAGACTGTCAGCTGTGAGGTCTTTGATGCTGGTCCTTGTCCTTGGGAGAGTTGTGCCCATTTAGCCTTAAAGAAAAGCTGTGCAATGGTTGCCAGCTAGCCAGTCACAAGGGACAGAAACATCCACCTGGAGGGTTTTCTGAATACACAAGCATATCACTAAAAAACAAAACCAAACCCCAAACCAGCTCAGTTATTAATAACCACATACCTGGAAAAGGAAATATAAAATATTTTGCTTTTTCCCTTAGCAGCCTAGTCCACCAGGAGTGCTTGATAGGCATGTGGTGCACCTATCAATACAACCAGCAGATAACAGCGAGGGACTGGCTTGAGGGTGGGAAGCAGGCTGTCCCTGTCACTTGTAATCTTCTCACATCCAGAGGCATCTTAAGGCCTTTCTAAACACGCTGATACTGCCTGAAAATCACTGAAAAAACCCACCCTTTGTTTGTGTTAACAGGATGAGAAAGTGCAAGGCTTCCTGTTATGTGTGTGTGACAGCTACAGATAAGCAGAGACCTCTGGACAGGAAATCCGCCCAACTTCTGCAGTGTGATTTGCCCAAAGCTGAGGAGCCCGTTTTAGATCGAAGCACCAACAGAATGAGACGGGGCTGGCCAGAAAATGGGGGACACGCTGGAGAAGAGCTCTGAGGAGCCCGAGATCTCTTTGGACAATGAGTGTTCGACAAAAATGGGGGACCTGGTGGAAGTCTCGAGTGGTGAAAAGGTCAAGTTTGACGATACAGGTCTCTCTCTGGTGCTCCAGAATGGCCTTGAGAACCTTCGGCTTGAAAATTCCCTTACTGATGTCATCCTGTGCGTGGACAGCAGGGAATTCTCCTGTCACCGAGTGGTCCTTGCTGCAGCAAGCAATTATTTCAGGTAAGGTTTGTAACAAACAAAACCAATACGCTTATTTTGCTCCTTAGACTTGAACTGTAGGTCTCCAAGCAGTGCAAACTAGGCGTTAAAGTCTGCAAATTCGCAATGAGCTTCTAATTCCTTACACCTTTCAGCTTTTTTTAAGTTGGAGAATTAAATAAGGCAGGTGCCAAGTTGTGGGTTTGCTGGAGTTCTGATACCAGCACTCAAAAAGTCTGCTGGAGGCATGCAAAGTAAGACAGAATATTGGCAGACAAGCGCATGAGAAAAGAGTGCTTTAATCAAGTATCTTTAGCCACTTGTCCCTTTGGGATCTGGGCAAAGAGGAATACCCATTCAGATAGCAGGGTGTTTTTATTGAAATAGGAGTGGGTTTCTGGAACCTGCTAATTTTTCCTGTTACCATTCTGGGGCAAAAATATATATTCATTAAATTTTTGAGGAGCAAAGAGAAGGAATTTTCCATCTGGAAATCAGTTGCAATGGGAAATGTCTCCTTGAGAGCAATTTTGCCACTTCACTGTCTCCTTCTGGTCTGCTTAAACTTTTCATTCTTTCAATACAATAAATATTCTATCTGAGACTACTGGCCAACAAGAACAAATTTTAGACACACGGAGGAACTTGGTATCAGTTTCAGCACAGATTTTCCATTATCAATTAGACAATATCATTTAGACCATCACATTTGCATGGCTGGGATTTTTTTTCTTTCTTTCTTTACTGCTAAAGTGATCAGATGACTGAACAGGAAACACGAGAAAAAAGGACCTGTGACCACTTGTGACATGAGCAGAAAGCTAATTTTAATGGAGTCTGGTAAGCTTTGCTAGTAGTGCCAGAACAGTTCTGCTTTTCTAATCTAGAATAGAGATTGTGTCTGTGAATATTTGGAGACAGGTATTATTTCTACAGAGAGACTAAATTTATTGCATATGAGAAAATATACAGCTAAAAGCAGAGATGCCCAAATATTTCTTACCATCATTGTATGCATAATGGACAGCAGATGCACAAATTAAAATCAAAATTATCATAATGATACTTTGACAAAAAACCCCAATTTCACTATAAGTAAAGGTGCTGCAATCAGAAGGATTTTCCAGTTAAAACCAGGCAAGGTAGTTTTATGAGAACAGCTGTTGGTCAGCTTTCCAGAGAGCTTTCCCTGAGCTACAGCCTGTTCCTGGGAAGGAGGGGGGATACCTGCCTGGAGGTCATCCCACCCCAAGGCAACTGCACATTCATGCAGGGTCTGCTCCTCTGGGTGCTTCTGTTTGGCTTGGCTACCCACAGAGTTGAGATTTATTACATCTCACTGCCTGCCAGTGCCTCTGTCATGGCTCTTTGGGTTAGTTTCAATCACGTTTGGCACAGGAGGGAAATTTCAAACCTGAAGTTCCCGTGAGTTTGATGGAAGGCTGCAGCTAGGAGAGGAGAGATGCTGGGCTGGCACCCTTGCTGCTCTGCAGGGTAACGAGCAGGGTGTCCTGGCCAGCCAGCACACAGTGCCCAGAGCAACCACACTGCACAGCCAGCACAGCCAGAGCTCCTGGGAGGGACCCTGAAGTGTGTAAGAGGAATAAGGAGGGAGAATGGAGGGCTCAGGAAGGGGAAGCTGAGGTTACTGTGAGGAGGGAAAGAAGGACGCAAGCCTGCAGGAAACTGAGCTTCGCTGGTTCTGCTGCTCACAAGGAGCCTTCATTCATCTTGCCATAGTTCTCTGGAAGCTGCATGGCCCCAGAGAAAGAAGGAATTCCTAAATCCCACTGTTCCTGTGAATACTTTCCATGCTATTACAGGACCTCCAACAGCAGCCATGCACGGGAGCAAAGCAAAGGGACGCAGAGACTCACGGGCTTCGTGCCCCTGCACGTTACACAACCCTTCCTGAAGGCTGGGTGCCATGGCGTGGGCAACCCACAGCAGCTGACTGGGACACACTAAAACAAAGCTAACCCCTTCTAGGCCTTCTTCAGCACTGCTGGAGAGTAGATAGACTAATTCTTGTGACGTCCTGCACCCATAGACATAAAAACATTAACTCTGCGTTTACATCCGTGATGATAACAAAGCAGAGAAGAGAAACACCAGCTGACTAAGGTGGAACAGTAGTTCTTTAATCCTGCACTGTCCAAGAGTAGTGGGAGAGTGGGGCTGGGAAAGGTTGGAGCCATTTTCCAGAGCACCCCCGAGCTCTGGCATGGTTGTTTGAAGTCAGGTCCATAATTCCAAGCACAAGCATTCCAGTGTGGGAGGGTGCTTAAAAAGTGCTTCACGAAACTGCAACCCCCTAGTTTATTTTATTGAGATTTCTCTAACTTTAAATTAGAAAAAAAATCAGAATTTTTTCTAAAATTACTCATTTTTGGGTATCTAAATTTGGCACTGGGCCCTCAATTCAGATGTGCATTTCTTAGAGTATCTGTTGGTTTAAAGGTGCAGTTTAGAATTACACAGGGACAAGACCCAGGGAAACATACAATGGAATTAGTAGCCACATCTGAAGGATTTAGAGCCTCCTGAGGGTAAGTTCAGAAAGATTCAGAGGCAGCATTTTAATCCCTAGGAGAGAAGCTCAGCCTGATCAGCCTGAGAGGAGCAGCGTTCCCCCTGCCAGCACACAGGGTGGGAATGAGAACCAGAACATTTGAGCAGAAGGAAGGCCACAGCAGTCATCTCTCCTGTGCAGCACTGCCCAGTTCAGCCCTGCCACCATCTAGAGCAGAGAACTGGTGGGAGAGCACTGTGCTTTAGAGGTGTGATTGCTGCAGCTCACAGCTGCATTACATAAATCTACACCCTACGAAATTGGGAGTGGATGGCAGCTCTAAACCAATTACAAAGATTAGGAAGCAGATAGGCCAAAGCACTTTGACCAGACCCCTGTGCACAGCCACCAGCAGAATGCTGAGGCTGGTTTCTAACAGCCTTGCACAAGTGTCACCCTGGGTACCTCTGACTGACCCAGCAAACACTCCAGTCTGTGGGACAGAAGTGAGACTTTCACCTCCCCGACAGGGATGGGTCAATACAAGTCTGGAGTCACCAGCTTAAGAGATGAAAGGAAGAAGAGCAGACACCACCTGCACCCTCCATGGGCCCGGTTCTTGTTCAGATGAAACATCCGGCACCCCTCAATCCCGCACGACTCAAAGAGCTCTCCTGTGCCACCCCCCTCTCCATTCCCAGGGAGAGGAGGGAACTGAGGGCTGCTGTTTTCAGATGGCCACCTCTTTCAGTGGCCCACACATCCCCTTTTGCATCACTTGACAGTGCCAGAGGGAGAGAAGAGAAATGAATCCCAGTCTCGTGGTCACCGAAGTTAAGGAGCGTTTGTCTAAATGCCTTTGAAATATTCTGATTTCAGTAGCAGCAGAAGCTGGACCATGAAGCAGGGCAGTGAAGCAAAAGCCTTTCACGAGCTGAGATGAGTGAGAGGAAAAATAAGAATTTTGGCTGAACAACTTTTCTGACAAGTAACTTCTCTGCCCAAATTTCCTGCTCAAAAGTTAGGCCTCTCTATCCAGAGGCAGTTTTGCACACTGAGGTAACTAAGACCTTGCTATAAATTTTCTCCTGAAGTAAGGAACAGGTAGTCCTTAGAGCAAGTAGCAGCTGGTATCTTCCATCCATTTGCCATTCATTGTGCCTAACTGCTTTGCAATAAAATCTGTTTACGTCTTGGTTCCAGTAAGATGTGTCAATCAGACAGCTTAATTCAGGCACTTCTTTTACAAGAAAAACATGGCCTAAGACTTGGGACCTCTAGCCATTTCCCAGGTTGCATTGTCCTGTCAACATGGTGTATGACTAATAAAGAAGAGCTTGGAATGCAGGGTAAAGAGTGCTTCTAATTACACTTTAGATCTGCACATGTTTTTCACCAATGCAGTTACAAGTGGACTCATGTAATTCTGATCTGTTGAGACAGATTCCAAATGATGTGACACCTCGTCCTCTGAATGCAGCAAACAAGAAGGGGCTGATCAAAATCATAAGTAAAAGCAAAAAGCATTGGAAGAAATAATTAAATCTATGAACTGAAAGTGCAGAGGAAGATGTGTGTGTTTGTCTTGCAGCTGTCACAACGCAAAATGGATTTAAATAGCCCTTAGAGAATTTCTGATTTATACCCCTCATGAAATATCTGCCCAGTGCCAAAGGTATGTCTGGTGGGCACCTTTCAGATGCAGTATTGGCCACCAAAGAAGAGTTGCTACCTACATGTATGAAATCACTGCACTTTCTGCCTAACAGTACTTCAAATTCATGCAAATTCAATTGCTTCTCTAGCCAAGAGGTACCAACTCTACAATCCCAAAATTTAGCAGAAGAAAAGTTGGACTCTAAATTAGAAGAAAATCCATAAGCCATTCTCCCCTGGCCCACCACTGGTATTAATGCCTTTTGCTGCCCTGGAGCCCTAGGTCTGCTGTAGAGGACAGAACAGAGGAATCAGTCATGTGTGGATGTCTTATCAAACTCAAGATTACAGAGGTAGAAGAGAAACAAAAAGATATTTTCTTGTTTCTTTTTAACAGGAGTAATTGCATAAAATATGAAGCAATCAGAGTATTCTGTGTTGAAATCTAAATAGCCCAATGTTTTCAGAATGCCTCATCCTGACTGGAATGCAGTAAAAGATAAATGTCTTTCTTTCCAGGGCCATGTTCTGCAATGATTTAAGAGAGAAATATGAGGAGAAGATCATACTAAAAGGAGTTGATGCAGAAACCATGAATATACTCTTGGACTACACTTACACCAGCAAGATGCTCATCACAAAGCAAAATGTACAGAAAGTCTTGGAAGCTGCCAGCCTCTTTCAGGTACAGATAACTCAGATGCACTGACCCAATCTCACTGCTCTGGCAATACCACGTCTTACCCTGGGTAGCACACTGCAAACTTCTCTGATTTCATGGGTTCTCGAAGCATTTTGCTTCATATTTACTTACATTAAGGTAAAAAAAAAGGCAGGGACAGCCATGTACTGGAATTTTGCTGCGCTGAGTGTTATGCAAACAGGAAAAGAGCCTGGCTGTGCCTCCAAGGGCTGCTCCATGTGCTGCCTGCCTGGCAGTGCTCCCCAAAATTCAGCTCAGCCTGTAAGGCCAGTCAGAAGGGCTAGTGGGCAGCAGCTGGCATGGCTGGCCGGAGCAGGAAGTTACTTTGCCTCTCTGTCTCCTCTGCCTTGAGATGGAGGCTTGCCAGCCAAAGTTAGCATCCTCCTTTGCAGATCTCGTGATGGAAAGGGTTTTAGTCATGACCTGGGACTTGTGGGAGGCCGGAGTTGGGCAGTGTTACTCAGCCTTTGGTCCACGAGGTATTCACGTGTCCTGTAAATCACCTGTGAGGTCTGCCAAATTGCAGTGTCTGGTACCGTGCTGCAAATTGCCAACAAATTGTAACCAACGTAACCTGCCAAGTGCCAATGTGTGTGTGTGTCCATTCCTCTCTTTAGGGAAGACAAGAAACACCCAGCTCCCTGGTTCATGGGGGAATTCAGACTCTTGAATCTCACATGGAAATTTTGCTCTGCAGTTCCGGAACTCTGCGTTTTAGGACACAAGTCCTACGAGGAGCTGCTTAGGGAGCTGGGGGTGCTCAGTTTGGAGAAAAAGAGGACCCTATTAAAAAGGGACTTTATTGAAAAGGAGGACCCAAATAGGGTACCCTCAGGTTGCTCTCTTCAACTCCCTGACAGGAGGCTGTAGCCAGGTGGGGATTAGGCTCTTCTCCCAGGTAAAAGTGAATGGGACAAGAGGAAATTATCTCAACTTGTACCAAGGGAGGTCTAGATTGGATATTAGGAAAAATTTCACAAAGGTAACTTTAATGTCACTTGGGCCTGCAGTACATTTTCCATGTACCAACACTACCAACTGGTACCATTAAATGGCTACATTTTGTTCATTTTCAGGACATTTTCCATCTTGTTTTTGTTTTCTTTTGAACCTTTTTTCCTTAGGCTCATTCCTCAGCTTTTTTTTTTCCCTTCTGGAACTATCAAAAGTATAAACTTATGTTTTTTTCATGTATCTTCCATACTTTTCCTTAAAATTAAGATTAAATTTGATTCCCAATGCTGGTGCTTTAAGAAAACCATCAAACTCTGTTAGAATAATGATAATACTGTGAGGGTACCGTAAGTAAGAAAAGTAAACTAGAAGAAAACTAGATAAACCTAGAACACCAGGAATGTTCAGCTAAAAAGAGTGGTTGTCCTGGATACTCTCAAGTTTTATAAGGCTTCATTATAAATTTATAAGTCCTCACATTTATAATGTGAGGGTTTGGGCTGAAAATGTGTTTTGTGCAAAAAACCTTTTAAACTATTAAATCTTTAGTAATCTACTATATCAAGCTGACAGAACTAGAGTTCTGCCAGCTAGTCCGTGCTATTTATGCTGAAGAACAGAGTTGAAAGAGTCAAATGTTTCATTTGGATGTATCAACAGCTGAAAAGATTATTTCTGCAATTTATTGTAACATTTTTGTTTGATAAATTCTTTCAAATTAGTGACTTGTGAGAAATCCAAATTCCAAATAGAATCTTTTCAACTGACTTAGCAAGAACTTGTGGCAGAGCCTCTTTTTAACCTTGGGGACTTGGCAAAGAACCAAAGAAGAAATAACTTGTACAGTTCTAGATATTTCAGTATAGATATTCTAATGTAAATGATCTTTTCTCAAGAAACTGTTTTTGAAAAGGTTTTATGTAATTATGCCTTTGTTTACTCCCTTCTAGTAAGTTTTGACCAAATGCAGTCAAAACTGACAGTGGGAAGAGGTGGAGGGCTGTTTGGAGAGAGCAGGCGTCCCTGCCACGGTGGGGAAGCAGGTGAAGGGTTTGGAACAGGGAGCTGCTGAACACCTCAGCCTCACCCTCAAGTGAGCCAGACAAATTTTTTCCACCTCAAGCACAGTTGCAACACGAGTTCAATAATCACCTCCTCTGTCTGGCTGCCCAGCCACTGCACTTGCAAGGCTGGTGCCCACCCTGGATCCCGCCCAGCAGCTCTGCCACCCACACTGCCCGCAGAGCTGCTCATCCTTTCACCCTGGCAAGGGTCAGGATCCCAGCTGCTGCCCAGGGCCATGCAGGCAGCCCTGCTTCCCTCACCAGAACTCAGCAACAGCCTCCAGACCAGCCTACACTGCTCCTGCCCCCCAGGAACCTCTGTATTACCCATTGCCTCAGCAGGGTTTGGGTGAGGGAGCGCATCAGCTGTGGTGGTGGAAGCAAAGAAATGGTGAGAGGGAAGCAGGCTTCCGAGCAGATGGAAAAGAAACTGTGTTGTCACCAAAGGCTGTGATGCCCCCTGCCATGGAAATGCAGTGGGAACAGTGGAGGATTCCCCGAGCTGCCCCCTTTAAGCACAGCAGGGCTGCTCTGCCCTCAGGGCACGGTGGAAGCACCACCAGCCTGGTGGCCTGACTGACCCCAACGCACCCCTCATCCCTGCAGAAATCCACTTTACATTTCTCCAAGGGAAATAGGGCTCCAATACCCGGCAGCCATCCTGAGGCCACTGAGCAGGGCAGAGCCAGGGTGCCGGCTGCAGGCCGTGCCAAGACAGGAGGGCACCATTTGCTACCAAAGGCCTTCAGGGCAGCTCCCGGGGAAAGGGCTGGCAGGCTCAGACCGCCTCTATTCCCCCGGGGAGCAGCCCTGGAGGGGGCTGTGCCCCTCGGCTGGCTCTGGCAGGCTCAGAAAGCCTCCACTCCTCAGGTAGCAGCCCTGGAGGGGGCTGTGCCCCTCGGCTGGCTCTGGCCGGGCTCTCTCGGGGCACGGTGTCACTGCTGAGCCGGGACAGGCCCTGCTGTCCCTGCAGCCGCAGCAGAGCCGGTGGCTGAGGTCCATGAGCTGCAGGGTGCAGGATCCGGCCCTGAAGTGTGCTGCATACAGAGAGGGATTGTGAATGAAAGACCTTTCAGTGCCCCTTGCCTTCCCCTTCTGGGGGCTCTAGCTGGAGGCAGGGCTGCTGGCACTGCTTACACATCACCACTGAATCACGGCTGGGACAAGTGAGGATTCTATGGGGAGAACAAATTTTGCTATTCAGAGTGAAAGCCAAGTGGAGGCCAAGTAAGCATATGGGATGTCTCTAGCAATTGAGAACCTGGATTCACATGGGTGTTAGGAGAAGGACTAACTTATTGAAGAAACTGTTCTCAGGGAACAGGGCTTTTAAAGTGCCTGGATTGACATTAGGAGAGGTACTCACAGTGGACAAGTGGAAAATGCAGAGCTCTGCTAGAATAATCAGAGCAGATAAAGCAGAGGCTCAGGGTTCTCTTCCTTCTGATGCTCTCTTGAGTCAGCCACCTGCTCTCCTGGGACTGACTGACATATGCCCAGCAAGTTTTGGGGGAGTTTTGGGGGGAATTTATTGTCTAAATGAAGGCAGTGTTGGGGAGTCAGTGCAGCGCAGAGATGAGGAGCAGAAGCAGGGAAAGTCCTGCCTTGATTTGCTCCCAAGCAGCCCAGCCTCTCTGGTGGAGCCTCAGCGGGGCTGTTTCTCACACCCACACCTCACAGTTCTGCATTTGCCTGGCCACAAACAGCCCCGCAGTGAGGGAGTGGGGCCTACTGGCCGTGAGAGCCGTGTGCACCCTGTCACCTCAGCACTGCTCTTAACAAGCCATGTATAGATAATTAGAGAACTCTACGGAGCTTTGCTGCAGGCTGTGAGAACGTTGTTTTGGGGTCTATTCCCAGAGTCACTGATGAGTCGATCCGACCTTGGCAAATCCTAGGTTTGTTTTTTTGTGTCTCATTACTGACAACTTTGAATGCTTATGCTTAATGAGCTTAATAAGGCTGATGCTTAACCTGCCTCAGGTCTGAAGCCTACTTGGTGGCTAAGTCCTTTCAGATCCTCAAGGAAATGACTGATGAATTCAAAGTGCTTGCCTCGTGCTCGCCCTGAGAGCAGGCAAGGGGAATGTGCAAGGTGCAGAGGGGTCACTGAGCTGTGCCTCAGTGCCACTGTGGTCCACTGATATATTTTTATCACAATTAATGTCAGTGGTGGCAACACGTTCTGAGACCTCACATAGCCTCGTTCATCAGTCAGTTGCATTTCTCTAAACTTTTGACCACATCTAAATGTAAAACAGGAACCAGGCAGTCTGTACACAGCGTCTGCGATCGCTCAGCTCTGATAAACAGTCTAAATATGTCAACACGACACCGATGGGTCTGGAAGATTCTACCCTAATTACTGAAACAAATCTACATACTACAGTGTTTAAAAATGTTTCGCTTCCTCTTTGCCCCTCAATTACTATTGCACAACTTTCCCCAGTGAGAAAACATGAGTTCAAATGGTTTGCTTGCTGACACTGGACAGAAAAACAACCCAAAAAGCACAGATGGAAATGCACAACATTAGCTCTGACCCATCTTTATTGCATTGTTCAGTGGCAGTATTTGTACCTGAAATCACAGAGGTGATGGAAAATCTATTAGGATGAAGCATTGTAATTGATCAGTTCTACCCAACACTGGTTCTCAATTCCTGAATAATTATCAGCAATCCAGTTCAGATCACAGTTTTTACAAATATCCCGCAGACACCTGTGGCCCAGAATGTGTGCGCTTGGAACCCTCAGGTGGGGTAATTTTGCCAAGGAAATTTATGAGAGTAGTTGTGATGCCTTATTGAATGCAAACACAGCCAGTTTGAAGACAGATTAAGAAGACTCTGTGTGTAAAATGCATATCAATATTGTTTTCAGCCAATAGTAATGACAAATCAGGTCACTAGACCCTCTGAAGGCCTCCCCCACAACAGATTCTGTCAGGAAGCTCAAAAGAATTGCTGAAGGCCAATCTCTTCCTGCCACTCACCCCAGTCTAGGACTGCTGCCCATTCCTTCTGGGGCAGCACACTGCCCCAAACCTCCCAGCACTCAGAGCTCACACCCATCCCACAAGGCCTCAGATGCACTTGGAGTTTAAATACAGACAGTGGAGCCACCTTCACTCTAAAACCAGACTTTGCTCTAGCTGGTCTGAGCTGACATGAAAGATGAAGCAGTGGAAGCAAATTGGATGCCTGGGGTCCTTATCTGTGCTTTGTAACTCCGTGATTGCCACTGCCTTCACTCTAAAACCAGACTCTGCTCTAGTTGTTCTGAGCTGACATGCAAGATGAAGCAGGGGAAGCAAATTGGATGCCTGGGGTCCTTATCTGTGCTTTGTAACTCCGTGATTGCCAGTGCTTAGAGATCTCATGGAGGAAAAGGGAATAGCAGGAAACCCTTTCATGAAACAAATAAAATTCATGACTGTCACAGGTCTTCTGCATTCTGCAAGAAGGGAAACGAGCAATGGGACGCAGAGGGAATAAAAGCAGTAGGAAGAAGAAATTCTTATTTCAGACTGCAGGTCTTGGGAGATACCTGTGCTCAGATGATCCAGTTCTTGTCTCCCTCAGCTCTTTACTGTACTGGGCATGGCTGGTTGCTCCATGGCTCCCCTGTGATAGTTTTCATTAACCCTTCTGTGCTTATACAAGATTTTTCTGCCCACAGTTCCTGCGCATGGTAGATGCTTGTGCCAGTTTTCTCACTGAAGCACTCCAGCCGGAGAACTGCGTCGGCATCCTGAGGCTGGCTGACGCCCACTCCCTGCACAGCCTCAAACAACAGGTACAGAACTACATTATCCAGAACTTCACCCAGGTCCTGAACTACGAGGAGTTCCTGGAGCTGCCGGCGGACATCCTGTGCAGCACGCTGAAGAGTGATGAGCTCTGTGTCACGGAGGAGGCGCAGGTGTTTGAAACCGTCATGAACTGGGTCCGTTACAAGGAGTCCGAAAGGTTTTCTCTCCTGCCATACGTGCTGGAGAACGTCCGGCTGCCCCTCTTGGACCCCTGGTATTTTGTAGAGACTGTTGAAGCTGATCAACTCATTAGACAGTGTCCAGATGTCTTTCCTTTGCTCCAAGAAGCAAGAATGTACCATCTGTCAGGCAATGAGGTGAGTAAAACAGGAAGGTATTAGCCACTCTTTGTAAATGTCTCATGCTTCAGCTCAAAAATTGATTTGAAAGGAGCAGTGCCATGGGGCAGAAAAAGGTAATCACACTGAATTTCCACTAACTGGTGCTACTGAAAAGTCAAAATGGGCCCTCAGAATTTATCCTGCTGTCTGAGACAGTTCAGAAGATTTTGGTGGGTTGTTTTAAAACAAAGTGCACAGCTTCCTGTTTATGAACATCTGGGCTTGACCCTTCATACACACTCTTGCTAAATGAAGACCCCAGGTAGCTTCCCTAGTAAAAAGGCAAATGGTGTTAGCCCTGACACCTCACCCTCTCAGCTATTACTTCAAGACTAAGAAAAGACGAATAATTTTCCCACCAAACTGTGCCACAATCTGTAATGACTCTTTCAAATGTTAATATGTAAAATCTTCCCCTGTTACTTATGGGGAAAATGTTTCATAAAGGAAATATTCTTCCTCCTGCAAAGAAGATGGTCTCTTTGCAGAGGAGAGGACTGCTCATCTGCTGTTTGCAGAGGTCCCTGCCCCCAAAGAGACAGATTAATCCTGACACCCAGTCGAGTCCTGTCCTGCCTGCTCAGTGCCGGCTGTGGTGGATGTCCAGTCCTTCCATTGCCTGTCCCCTTTGGAAACTGAGGTATCAGTCGCATCTCCCTGGCCAAAATATGGGGGAGAGGGGAGAGCAACCAAGAGGTCAGATTTCACAACAGGAGCAAAGTTCGTGAGCGTGTGAGGAAACGTGTCCCTCCGCAGTCAGAGTCACAGGAGGGCGTTGTGACCCATCAGGGCGGATGTGTCACCTGTGTCACCGGCACGGCCAGCGGGGACAGACCCCGCGCTCTCCGTGCAAGACACTGCTCGGTGAGCTGGGGCGGTCTGTTTGGAGCTCCCTGGGCAAGCCTTGTGCCCTGGGCAGTGCTGTCAGGTGCATGCGGACAGATAAAGGCAGCGCTGCCCCGGGCTGAACACGCATTGCGCTCATCTTCAAAGGGCCAGCCGCAGGAGGCTGCGCTGCCAGCTGCCCTCCCCGGGGCTGACGCCTCGCAAGGGTGCCAGGCAGGTTCAAACAGAGCCCTGGAAGCTGGCAAGTTCTGGGACTCACGTTCTACAAAAATGTGCCTATTCATTTTCTGGACATAGTCAAAATAGAAGACACGTGTCTGTGTAGATAATATCTTTTAATATGGATAAGTTATACCAATTTATAGAAACATGGTAAAAGCAGAAAGAGAGGTACAACTTTAAGCAAGTTGCCTCCTGACACGGCATTTGACCTGTGGGTCTTGTTTGCAAGCATTTCCTCCAAGAGAACACAAGTTTTCAAGCACCCCTTGCATTCTTTGCTCCTGGTGAACATCTACCTGGCAAGTGAACTTCTCCAGTGACCCTGAAACAAAGACCTGGTCAATAAACTGAGCCAACAAGCAGTAAATTAGAGCTAAGCACATTTCAGAGCCTGGTGCTGGCTTTAAATAAGTCTTCTAATTTTGGCTTGAGGTAAGAGCTTACACACAAAGAAACAAATAAAAATAACCCCTCCACAGTTGAGAATTGTTATTGTTCTGACACTAACATATCTCTTCAGGACAAATAATGAGAGCAATTATTTTCTGCTAGCACTAACTGCAGTCTTGCTCTCTCTGAGCTCCCCAAGGCATACACAAACCTTGGGGTCCCCCTACCCTGCCCTCACTCTGTCAACCCAAATAAAACCTGTCCTTTTCAGCTACCTGACGTGCACCCAGCCTTGTCACTACTGCTCACCTGCACAGCTCTTGGTGCCATCCTGGAAATTCCTAAAAGGATCTGAAAGGATCCTAGTAGACAGGCAAAAGCAGCTAAGTTCAGAGTTGGAAAAATCCTGCTGAAAGAAGGATACAGCAATCTCTACTGAATGCTTCTAGGATGCTTTTCAGACTTTTAAATTAGAAAGCCTTGGCTAATTGGTTCAGTTGATGTAAGCCTTCTTTGATAACCTGTTTTTCAAAAAACAGGTAATCAAAGAAAAGGTCACCTGGCCTTTCTGTAATCGTAGGTGTAAGTGCCCTGTGTACTCACTCTGTCTCACTTGCATTTAGATTATCACAGAAAGGACCAAGCCCAGGATGCACGAGTTCCAGTCTGAGGTGTTTATGATCATAGGGGGCTGTACAAAAGATGAGAAGTTTGTAGCAGAAGTGACTTGCCTGGATCCTTTGAGGCGAAGCCGTCTGGAAGTCGCAAAATTACCAATCACAGAGCAGGAGCCAGAGAATGAGAATAAAAAATGGGTGGAGTTTGCATGCATTACTCTAAAAAATGAAGTCTACATATCAGGTAAGGAACAAGACATTGACTGGGAGTGCAGGAGGGGAGCAAAGCATTCTCACGATTATTTCCAGCTTTTATCAAGACCATGCTTGAGGCAGCTTTAGAAAAATTAAGCACTGCAGGTATTTTAATGCTTTGGCTTTGGACATGCTCCAGAGAGCACTGGATGTGTAAGGACACTGCTTAGCTCTGATCTGAGCACAGGATTCCTTTTCAAACAACACTGATCTATGTGCATGGGTACTTTTGTGCAGCACCCTAAACAGTGACTGAGGTCACAGAAGGGTTCTTGGGAACAGTTCACCAAACATAAAATGACAAATTGCTTCAGCATCTTCTTGTGACAAGTTCATTTGAAGCTCCACATGCATTAGCAAAATCCTGCCAGAGTCTGAGTCATTTTGCAAAAGTCAGTCAAGAACCTGCAGGGAACTGTCAGTGATGTTTGGCTGCTCCCTGAAAGCTGCCACCATAGAGGACTCTAGACCTGCCCACCCACAGTCATTAACTTGGCAGTATAAACTGTCAAAGCCAGATGAAATCCCATGTTCCAGACACCCAGTGTGGGTCTGAACAACTCATGTGCTGATCATCATCCCAAGAGCTTCAGGAGATGTACTTAACTTCCCACACAAATACACTTGAGCTCCACACAGGGTTTGATCCCAGAGCTACAGAGATTTTACTCTGACAATCAAAATGTTAAATCAATCTTGTTGGCCAGTTTGACAGCTGCTTTTGATGGCCTGTCAAAAAACAAGTTGGATGATCTTGTTGTGCTTCCAGAGGAAAACTGACAGCAAGCTTTTCATCACTGTGGCTTTAGAGCCCATGTTACAGAGCAGGGCCTTCATAGGTAGAATACTTCCTTTCTGCAAAACTGGCCACCAAATTCTGTACTCCATCAAAACAGAAGAGTAGACCAAAGTGTGAATGCTAAAGTGCAAATAGTGGTCCACTGCCTTTATTCAAATATCTTCCATTGTATTCTTTCTTTTGGGAATCCACATATATTTGATACTTCATTCCAATTTAACATTTATTAAACTTTTATCCTGGGATAAGAAATAGATTACTGTTTCCATAACTACAAGTAAAGAAAGTTATTCCTGTCAGTCCACCATAGAGACTTTCTGGCATTAGCCCCTCTGTTAAAAGGTAGCTGTAGAGAGAAGCCTAAGTCAAACATTCCAACTAGGGAATATTCCCCTCACCTTCACACCCTTGAGTTGAGAGGTCTATTTTCCATTTACTTTCAATTTATTACCCTTCCCTCTTTTTCAAGGCTCTTGCATTCTTTTATTCCTGACATCTTTCCCAATGTTTCTTCTCCACTTTTATTTTATGTTCTATCCAGGCTACCTCCAGGCCAGGCTAACACATTCCCTGTTGTGGTGAGTCTAAGCTGGCTTTCCCTTTGCTTCCATTCTCACAGCTTCTTTTTCTGCCTTCTTTACTTACTTTTATATCTCTGAGTCCCTCTCTCCATTCCCTCATTGCCTTTCCCCTTTTTGCCCTTTGCACACAAATAAAAGGCTGAGTGGACCAAAGCCATTAGCATGTTTTTCTCAGCTAAACCAATTATTGGTGTCTCAATCCTGATTAAATACTGCTTCCTCCTGCATGTCCTTCTACTTTTGTTTTCTTTCTTTAGCTCCTCTAATTTTCTTCTACTCTAACTTGACTTTCATTTTTCCTAACTTGATCTCCCATTCCATGTGCTTATTTCCTGCTGTATCTTGGTACAGTCTGGAGTCTTCCCTGCTCCTTTAGCATCTCAAAAATAGGAAAGTCCTTTGCACAAGATTATGACTACTGTTAGATCATGATTTCCCCAAAACAGTTTCAATGCTTTGACTGGATAGTCTGAAACACTACATTTGCAGCATAACTAAAAATGACATGAATTATCATTCACCATTCTGATGCTTTTACTAATTTAGGCACAATTTCTCTTCAAATTAGAAATAATTGCTGTCCAGAGGAAAAACAGAAACAAAATTAACTTCTAGTCCTCTCAAAAATCTCTCCCTGATGTGCAACAAATTCACCCACTGGTCCAGCTCAAGCTACTACATGAGTTTCAGCCTGTGGAGGAAAGCACAAGCTCATGTCAAAGGGAAATTTCAAGGGAGAGTAAAGGGAACACCTGCAGTCTCTCAGCCCCTTTGTAGCCATGAATGCTGCATTCAGGCCCTTTGGCCACTTCAGCTATTTGAGTGCAAAGAAAATTCACCACATACATGTGAAAAATACTAGGACAAAAGCATTACAAACGACTCTTTCTAGCATGCTAATTATCTCCCATTCAATCTGCTGTTTGGCCCAGAGATAGGCTCCATCAGTTTGCAGTGATCTGTCTGCAGTACAGAATACCAATGAAGACAGACATTTTCTCAATGGAATATGGATTCTCTTTTCAGTATATTCACCATCTGCAAATCAGGTTGCAGATGATGGAATAAGCTACTCAGTCTGTAAATGTGGTTTCAGGCTTAACTAGATCCGTTTGTATTACAGATACACCAGAAACTGTAGGCAAACAACAGCTCTTGTTTAAAACACTGCTCCCTGCTTTAGCACAAGCAAAGACCCGCTTGCAGGTCAGCTCTAGAATGAGTTTGCAGGGTCCAGTTTTGATCTTCAAGCTATAAATGTGAAGCTTACCCATGTCTGTAGATAAAGAGACCAGAAGGAGAGGCACAAAAATGGGATCCCAGCCATATGGTCCCAGGGTTGAATAGTAAAACTTCCAAGTCCTGCAGGACTGTTTTTGGGAGGAGCACAGTCAGGTCTTTTGCTTTATGATGCAAACCACAGGGCTGGCTGGATCTGCCCTGCACAACCTGGCAGTTTTCCAGTGCAGGCCTGTCTTCAAGGGATTTGGAACTAGCAGCTGCAGTATCCTCCACTACCTTACTTAAATCACATTTGTTTGTTTGTACCTTTGCAGCAGTTCTGCAAAGCCCTGGTGTTGCACAAAAATCTCCTGCATGTCACCTTGCTGTGTGGTTGGTCGTGCACTCAGTATTGAAATGAAAGTTGTTGTGGGCTGGTAAAGTGAGGAACGGTGATTTATCTTCACTGAATATTTGGCTGTAGAAATTGTTCAGTGTCCTTCACTATAAGTAAGCTAAATGCAGAAATTGTCTTTTGTAACAGGACTAGTTAACAACTCCACTACCTTACTTAAATCACATTTGTTTGTTTGTACCTTTGCAGCAGTTCTGAAAAGCCCTGGTGTTGCACAAAAATCTCCTGCATGTCACCCTGCTGTGTGGTTGGTCGTGCACTCAGTATTGAAATGAAAGTTGTTGTGGGCTGGTAAAGTGAGGAACGGTGATTTATCTTCACTGAATATTTGGCTGTAGAAATTGTTCAGTGTCCTTCACTATTAAGTAAACTAAATGCAGAAGTTGTCTTTTGTAACAGCATTAGTTAACAATCAGTAATAATGATTTACTTTCCATTGTGAGAGAACACGCTTAAATTTAGGCATATTGGACTTTTTAAGTAAATACAAGCTGTGCTATCATATTTACATGTCATGTATACTACAGGTGGCAAAGAAACAAAGCACGATGTCTGGAAATACAACGCCTCCATCAACAAATGGATACAAATTGAGTATCTCAACATCGGGCGCTGGAGACATAAAATGGCAGTGTTGGGTGGCAAAGTGTATGTCATTGGGGGCTTTGATGGCATGCAGAGAATCAACAGCATGGAAGCATATGATCCCTTTCATAACTGCTGGTCAGAGGTAAGAGGCTGCACCACGTAACATTTTAATTATTTGGAATATTTTATTTAGAAAATCTTAGGGTTCATGGAAATCTTGGATTCATCGAAATGATCTTGTATAATTCTTTTAAGTATTTCTAGTCTTTAAAAACCCTAAATATTTTTTTCTATAGAAATACATATCCTTTAGAAGGTAAAAATATTCCCAGATTGCCAGCCAATCATTTCCTATGAGAGATCTAATGCCTAACTTTCCTTTTTTTTTAGTTGGCTTTAATGCTAGTAGTCCATAAATCAAGGAGTAAGTATATAGTATACATGAGCCAGAGCACAGGCTGAAAACTACTGCTCTGACACATTTTATATGTATATAAAATGTGTCTACCAAGCTGTGCCTTATATATGGTATGGGTTATACATTAAAGTGAAAGTACAGGTTTGAAGGTAAATAGGATTAAACCCACTCCCCCCCTCCAGTTCTACTCACTGTACTTCAAGCAATGAGAGGAGAGAATTAGGCAGCCAATTAATCCATGACAGTAATGAGATTAGGTATCATAACAGCAGACACAACCCATTGTCTCTAGATTATACAAAGCAATGTGAAGGACTCTAACAATCACAGCTGCAAGTAGCAAGATCGGTACAAACAAATTTCTTGTGCTTTTTTGCAATGTCTGGAAGCATGTAAAGGAGATTTTTGGCATTTCTGAAATTTCCTAGCTTTTGAATTATTGATAAAGTAATTTTAATCTCAGCATTTGAACAGAGCATATTTTTATTAAGGGTTTTTGCAGTCTTAAGAAAAAGCTGAAACATACTTTTCCCTTATCCTTTGAAACATCATCTTCTGAACCTTGCTTAAAAAGGGATGCTGACTTAAAATTCTGCAGGCTCCCTCCCCACGGGGCATCAGTCTGACTGCTTCACGCGGTTACTAATGATTCTTTTTGGTCCCCAGGCTGCTCCCCTGATGGTCAACGTGAGCTCCTTTGCAGCAGCCAGCTACAAGAAGAAGCTGTACGTGATTGGGGGGGGCCCCAACGGGAAGCTGGCCACGGACAAGACGCAGTGCTATGACCCGGCCACCAACGCCTGGAGCCTGAGGGCTGCCATGCCTGTGGAGGCCAAGTGCATCAACGCTGCCAGCTTCAGGGACCACATCTATGTGGTGGGTGAGTGCAGCACCCGTGGCTCGCCTCGTCTGCACCCAGCAGGGCTTGGTCCTGTGCTTCTGTGATAGTTTCACCCCACAGAGATGGCTCTTCCCTTAGCGAGGGGTGGGAATCCAGGATGTTCACAAACAGTAGGGAAAGGTCACAAAGTCAAAATCCCTGTTAGCATGGCAGCTGTCTTGGAAAGCTGGAGGTAGCTCAGAGGCAGCTTAAAGCTATCCAAAGATGTGTTCATAGTGGCAAGGGCATGATCTCATGGCTACATCATGTCCTCTCCAGGGGCATTACACAACCCACTGCATACAGGATTTATGCAGGGATAAGAGTACTAGGAGGAGGTCAGAGGAGCAGAGCCACTGAGACCCAAAGACCCAGAGCTCTTCACTAGATTGCACTTGAGTTTAATTCAGTCAACCTCCAGAACTGGAAGAAAAAATGGAAAAACCAAGATTTTGAGCTGAACTGTGGGGGAAGAGGGAGCCTGCACACATCTCTAGGTGGCACCAGGAAAACCAAAAGAAAAGAAGAACACTTGTTTCCAAAACAGGAGCTCTGAAAAGTTTCCCCTCCCTCTCTCAGCCTTGGTGCAGGGAATTTCAATGTAATCAATATGGTGCTGAGAGCTGGCATAGAGCTGGAGTATTCACCAAATAATTAATGGCGCTCTGGAGGGAGATTTGTAATCTGCATGTGTGTGCACATGTATACACACACACACACCCCTTTTGTGTACAAAAACACCTCATGCTTGTCCTCAGCACTGGAGCTGACCTCACCCTGTTTGTACAGGATGACAGAGAGAGAAGGCACATGACTTATGGGCTAGCTGATATAACTCCTGATAAAATGGACATGATACTCCAGTCACATTCATTCAGCATCTTTCAGCCAGCAACATCCACTAGTAAATCTCTTGCTTATCTATCTGAGAAACAAGTCTACTCCAATTGGATAGAAATCAGTCCCATCTGAAGTTTAAAAGAGCATTTGGTTACTGCAGCCAAAGCAATCAAATGACCCAGACTGATGAATTACCAACTGCCAGGTAAATCACTACAACAACAATGTCTGTTTTCAGTCTGTTTCAATTAAGTCACCTCTGAATGACTTGATCACCTCTCAGGTGCTGCACTAGTATTGTCAAACTCAGCATCTATTATAAGTACCACGGATAAATACTCACTTTGCTAGCAGGGAGGATGCCAGGCATTGTTGCACCTCATCAATAAGACCATGGCTTCAAGGTTCCCTATCCAGAAGGACAGTGCCAGACTCTTTTCAGAGCTGGCCAGGGACAGGATAAGGAACAATGACCATAACTACAATGTATGAAGTTCCACCTCAGCGTGAGGAAGGACTTCTTTATGTTGAGGGTTGCAGAGCACTGGAACAGCTGCCCAGTGAGGCTGTGGAATTTCCCTCTTTGGAGGCATTCCAAACCCAAACCTGGATGCATTCCAGTGTAACCTGCTCCAGGTGACCCTGCCTTGGCAGAGGGGCTGGGCTGGATAATCTCCAGAGGTCTCTTCCAATCCTAACAATTCTGTGATTCTGTACAGCAAATACAGAAGACACATTCAGTGCCTGTAAATTTCAGAATAAGAACCATTTAGCTGCTAGTAATCTCAGGAGGGAATATATTTTCATAGACTTTCATGAGAATTGAGGTATTGACCATTTTTTCAAGAGAAAAGGACACTGCAAGATTGAAAAGGTGCACTAAGAACCTTTACTACGAATCATTAAAAACTTCAGTTTTGGGAAACACAGAGAAACTGAAGGTCATTCTCTGTTTAACACACCCATAGAGAGATTATTGATTCAGTCTGACAAACTCTAAATAAGGAAGAGTTTTTGAAAGCAGCCAGTTCCAGGAAGAAGGAGGATTGATGGACAGAGGAATGAGTGGAAAAATCCTGTTTGCATTTCTAACAGTGATGGTTTGCCACAGCTGGACCTCCAGCTGTTTAAAAGTGCTGATCTAAGCACTTTGAAACAAAATAGCATTTTTCTGAAGCTGTGTCCTTAGCTGGATCAGCAGGTATGAGAAAGATCTGTTGCTAGGTGCACTGCGGTCACACTGAAGGATCACAGCAGTTTGTTCTGGCCCTAAATTCCACAGCCTTATGAACAATAAGTAGCCTTCTGCAGATCAGGCTTTCAAAACAATAAAGTATTTTGTGACCTTGCTTTTTCTTGGCTTTGGGGCACAAACCATTCTTACAAATGTCAGGAACAGAGTCTTGTTGTGAATTAAAATCCCTTACAGGAACGGCCAGTGCAAACCAATATCCATTTCCTTCCCAGGTGGGGCGATGAAAGCTCTGTACTCCTACAGCCCCCAGGAGGACACATGGTGCCTGGTGACTCAGTTCACCCACGAGAGAGCCAGCTGTGGCATTTCTCCTTGCAACAACAAGCTCTTCATCACCGGCGGCCGAGATGAAAAGAACGAAGTCATTGCAACAGTGCTCTGCTGGGACCCTGAAACCCAGAAGCTGACAGAAGAGTGTGTCCTGCCTCGGGGGGTGTCTCACCACGGCAGCGTTACCCTCAGGAAGTCTTACACGCCCATCCGTAAGATCGTGCCCGGGGCAGTTTCTGTCTGAGCCCGGTGACAGACTGCAGCGAGGATGGGTTTGAGCTTCGAGCACCGCCACAGCTCCTCTGGGGGGTATCTGTATATATGCTCAGTCCTTGTGTTTCCTCTGTACATGATATCCTTAAATTATCTTAATTCCTTCCCTCTACAGAAAAACAAAGGGACCAGCTGTAGTTTAGTCCTGCCAGCACAGGATCTCGAATCAGGCAAAGAAATGTAGGTGGGAAATTTACTTCTCAGCTATATCTGCCCTGGAATGTGCTTGAACTGGCTCAGTCTGGTCCCAGAGTTTGGTCAACTATTTATTGTGTTGATTTGGATTTGCAATAACTACTAGTGAAAAAAGAGAAGTCGTTTTAGGAATAAATATTTGTACTTTGGTACGACATAACTTCGTCTTCCAAAGCTGTGCTTTTTTTCTCCCAGTGTTTGGCACATTAGATTAAGTTTGAACCAGTTTGTTTGTTTGAAGATATCTTTTTGGTTTTTGAGTTCTGCATGACCAAAATAAATCCATCTCATTTTGCAAACCTTGCTGTCATTCTCAAGAAAGAGACTGCACAGGCTGCAAATGTAAATGAACGCTAATTTGTTTCCACGGCACATTCACTGCGGCTGTTTTCTAAATAAAACAGGCCAAAGCGTAGTTTCCCTTTCCTTTGTTGTGTGTCGGGTGACTGTTGTGCCTGCGAGGCCTTTTCCTCGCCGGGCTCCGTCCGTGCCTCCATCCCCACTGGGTGGCACTGCGCTCCCGGCGTTTCCCGCACGGGGCTGGGCTCCCCGAACGCAACCGGACAAAACAGTCTGCTGGGGAGAAAAACACTTCCAGGTACTGCTCCCAGGCTGCTTCATGAGACTGTCACATGCTGTACCAGAGGGGGCAAATGTTCAGCAGGCCAGGAGAGCCCAAGTCTCAAATCCCAGCATCTGGGTCAGTTGTAGGGAAAGAAAAACAAACATTGAAGAGGTCACGCCCGGGACGCCCTGGGACACTCTTGGCCAAAGACTGGGAACATATTCCCGTCCCTCCTCCCCTGCCTAGTTGCTGGAAAGAGCCAACTCACTATTAAATCAAGACAGAAAAGACAGTGCAAAACAAATCTCTGCAAGTGGAGAGCAGTGACTCCTTCCAGCCTTCCCTCCCTCTCTGTAATGTCTCCTTTTGCCTTATACAGTATTAAAAATAATATTTCTGTCATGCTAGGCTGGGAAAAAGCCACGGGTTCCTGAATTTCAGCACGCTAATGCCTGAGTGCTCAGTGGTGTGGCAGGGCCTGCAGACAGCCTGGTGCAAGCTGAGCAGGGCAGGCACAGCCTGTGGGGTGGGGGCAGCCCTCCAACAGGTCTGTGTCCTTGCCTCAGAAAGACTGCAAGAAATCTTGTTTCTTCTGCAATTTGCCCCATGCCTTGAACTCATCTCTGTGATTTCAGCCAATCCCCACAATTTCTCACTCTAATTTTCCCACAGGCCTTCCATTTTCAACAACTTTTTAATTGCTTCCCTTCCTTCTTTACGTTCCTGTCATTCTGCAGGGTCAGCACTTCTTACACTTCCATGCTGGTCCCCTCTCTCCCATCCCACTCTGCTTTTCAGAGGGCATGAAGAAGGACCCTCCAGACACAATATTTTATTTCAAAAGGTTTTTGTGAAGAACTGTTACTACCTTTGACTTGGTTGGTGGCACTGGCTGGTCTAGAGGGACAGAGAAGATGGATGAATGGGAGGGTTCTCCCTTTCCTCTTGAGGAGCTGCATTTTGTATATTTACCTGTTGGAAAAACTAATTATAGCAGCTGTTGTGTTTGACTAGTTCTTCCTACTGAGAATCATCCTAAAAACCAGCAGCCCTCAGGAGCTGGTTTTCTCCCTGTAATGTTTGTAGCAAAAACCTGTATTTTTTTTTCTTGAGAAAGATAAACCACTGAATTAGAAAAAAATTGTCCAAATGAACTTCCTAATACAAATTCTGAACTCCACATCTCAAAGGCAGGAAACAGCCTCTTGTCTGTCCTAAGGTGGTTTCCTAGTCACATGTGCAAACCTTGGGCAATCATAAGCCAAAACAGCCCTCACTGACAAACACAAGACAGCACAACCACAGCTTGGCTCCTTTTCCCTCTCCTAACTCATGAATCGCTCACAAATTCTGACATTTTAATAGCAGTGAGTGAAGAGTTGTGGTTATTTGCCTCTCTGCTCTTTGTACCTTTTGGATTCATGTTGCAATCTGAAGGACTTGAAGTATATTGAAAAACAAAAACATTCAAATCAGTAGCTTTATGCAGACACCAAAAATCACAAGTGTTGTGAAAATAATGGCAAGAACCAGCAGTGCTGTCCACTCATTGCCAGCAGCGAGGTGGGGGTGGAGACAGGAGACAACAGAAATCAAGTTTCAAAACCTTGCAATTTCCTTTTCCTATCACAGGCTCTTTTTCATCTGCTGTGTGTCCCCCCCCCCCTCTGGCAGGGAATGACCACAACCACAGTTTCTGCCCAAGGAACACAGAGTATCAGATGTACAAAGCAGTGACCAGGGCAGCACAGAGCCGACTGTCCCTGCAGGAGCTGCCTGAGCTGCCTCGGGCAGCTGGGGCTGCTCCCCAGCACTGACACAGCCCCAGGGCTCTCGGGCTGCCCCCAGTGCAGCCAGGCAATGGCACTTTCCTTCTGCCTCCTTCCTATATTACAGTTCCAGTAGAAAATGACACAGCCAATTGATGGAGCAGAAGTAGACACTCCATAGTAATTACTAAAACTGCAGGAGGTTAATTAGTTTTACTGAATAATTACTCAAATGCTTGCAATGAACTCAGATCCAAAGCTGTGCGCTTGTTTACCTGCAAGGAGATCCTCTGTATCTCCTGACAGTGAAACTGATCTCATTTGAGGCGCAGACCTATCTCTGATGTAATTATGTCTGCAGTGATGTATGGCACAGCCCCAGCCCCTGGAATGCAGGTCTGACTCCCTTCAGTCTGCAGGTTACAGACAGCAAACTGTGCTTTAAATCCAGCTGGGACAGGGAAGAGAGCAGAGGTAAATGTTGTGACAGTACTGGCACAAGAAAAGAGGGGAAAAACTGACCAGGAATATATTTAGGCTATAAATTGGAATACCTTTAATGATTCATGCTGTTGCAATTCATTAAAGGATTACTGCCCCCAGCTGCCAAATCACATGTTAAAGCCAACTGCTCTCCATTTCACTTCAAATTAAAATGCAGGGCAGCCAAACTTCTTGACGTCTGAGAAGTTCACTTATGTGACCTGGGAGAGGTCGATTACTGGGTCTGGTAAACAGTCTCAGTTTGAATTTCCAGAGCTTATGTGGAGACATCCTTACAAGGCTGGTGATCACTACACCCATGAGGTTCTGGAAAATGCAGAAGCCTAACATTCTTTGAGACAAAACCCACGATATTTATGAAAAGTATTATAGGAACCTAGTGCTTGTTACGTTGTCCTGGTGAGCCCTCTGATCCTATTCACAAGAATGGGGAAATCCCAAAGGTAAATGGTTCAGGCACATGGTGTGTTTCTTGTATGCACACTATCACCTGCTGCTTTTGTACCAAACAGCACACTAATATTCCATGGGAATAAGTTGTTTACAAACAGTCACTTAAAAAAAATGTACCTATCTATTGTTAAACCATTTTAATGAGAATTAATATGAGCCTGAAATGATCTTTCTTAAAAGACCATCTCCACAGGGCAGTGTTTTGTTTGCCTGGTCCTTGTGATGTCACTGTGGGCAGGCTTTATATGTACATAAACTTCTCAGAGTCACTGAGAGCAAAGTGTGCTCTCTTTCAGCATCCTTCTTTATGTTACCAAAATTCTTGTTGTAACCAGAACATGTATATGTAAGAGAGAGTTACAGAATTGGCAACAGAATCCTGTCCAGATTATACCTTCATAATTGTCGGAGGTCAGCAGGAAGACCAAGTGCTGTTAACTAGCTGTTACACAAAGTCACCTATGGCTCCATATACAATTACTTTACTTTATGCTATTTACGCAGTTATCTCAACTTCTTATAATGAAAATTTCTAACAGAGGTAAACATGAATGGACCTTGCATAGACAAAACAACCTATGAGTTATCAGCATCCTTGTCATTGGGCACTGGCATAAAAATTTGGCCCAGGATATGAAAGCCTGGGGATTCCTCCCACATGCCAAAGGGGTTCAGCAGAAAGAACCTGGTCCAGTATGCAGACATTTTTCCCATCCTTCCTATGTGTTATGGAAGACCCCTGTTAGAGGTTGTATATAAAGTACTCATAGTTTCAGATATCCATGATACATTCATCTTGGAGAAAAATAAAAGCAGCCAGTAAAATGCAACTTCTAAATCCTTTTATTGAAGAGGACTGAGAAGCACGAAAACATGGTTAAAGCAAATATGCAATATTATATTTCATTCACTTGCCACAATTTTACCTTAGAGATACTTCTCACACAAGAAGTGTCCCTTAGCAGCAGAGCCTCTAAGATGTCCCTGCTCATTCCACCCATCTCTGAACTGGAATTTGTTACACCCTCAGTTGTGCTGATGCAGCTGTTTTCAGAACATCCTATAAAACAGATTGCTGGGATAATCTCAGTTAAAATGAAAACACCACTTCTCTTTGAAGGGATATTTTTAACCTGCAACCCCAGAAGCAGTTGCATCAGCAAACAGGAGACAGTGGACACTGCAATGTAAGGAGAGTAACAAGCAGTTTGGGAATGGGGAGAGAACATCAGCAGGAACTGCTCGAACTCACTCTGCTGCCAAAAACATTTCATGCAACCAGACACCGATCTCCTCCTGGCTCGCACGTAGTGGAATTCTTCAGATGAGTGTGAAATAGCCAAAAGCCACATTCAGCACTTTCTGTGTATCGCTTTAAGCAAACAGAAGGTGGAGAGAGTCTGCACAAGGAAAATACTGCACAGAATTAAATCAAGGACCTTTTTAAAAGTCCAATGTATTTATGCATAAAACATAACAAATTATAAAAATATTATCTTTAGAAATACAGAACTCTTTTCTCAAGTCTAAGGGACAGATCAATTTAAATTTCCCACACTGATGTTTATATCTAATGACATTTTGGTTTCTTCAAAGGTCTGATATATGTTTCTCTTTTCTTCTGTAGGTAGGTGGCTGATCTGGAAAACATAAAATGCTCTTACAGGATCTCGTTTTTCTTGCCCCAATGCACCAAGCAGCTCTGCAGCCTCTCTTCCTCACCTTCCCAAGGCTTTGGTGGCAGGTACCCAGCAGCAGCTCTGACATGGTGTAGCTGTAAGCTGAGATCAGGCTGCTGGAGGAGATTTTTGTGAGGCAGAACTGGGAGCTGCCTCGGCAGAGATTCAGAAGTGATGTTCACGCTTAGTCCCGCACCCATGAACCATGGTGTGGGTGCTCCTGTGCCCAGCCTCTCTGCTCCTGCCCTGCTGCCCCAGCTGCTGGGCTCAGCCTTGGCTGTCACCTCAGCACAGCCCCAGCAGGGACTCAGGGTTTGGGCTGCCCCAGGCTCCTGCAGCACCCACTGGGCTCCGTGGGCACAGCAGGGAGGGAATGCCACCCGCTGCCCCCCGTCCTCCCTCCCCAGCAGCACCTCCAGCTCTGTGATGCCTGGCAGTGCCATGTGCTGCCCAGCAGATACATCTAAGGTGGCTTCCCATCAGGAGGAGATTTTATCAAAGCATCAGTGTTTTGCAGATTGTCAGATGGAATCCATAAGGCAGTGAATACACCAGCACACTGCACAAGCTGAGCAATGGTGTTCCACCGAGTGCAGCAGTTTCCAGGGGCACCTCTCAGTGCATGTTCTCAAGAACAGGACTTTGGATGCCTAGCTTGCAAGAATATACTGTGTGAAAGAAATGGTTGTTGTTTTTACAGCACATTTGCTTAAGGATCCTCTGCTGTAGGTGATGCTGTCATGAGACCTGTGGTTATTCCTTTGCTTTGCATTATCTATTTTTAATTTTCTTTTCTCCAGAAAGGCATCTGCAACAGGTGGGTGAAAATGACCTTAATTCAATATCTCTTCCAGAAGGTCCTGCCTTTCACATCAGAACAAAGCTTGGAACTTCATCCAGGGTAGCATTCACTATATTCTCAGCTGTGTTGTGATGAAAGATCTGTGGCCTTTTGGCACAAAGGAGGCAGTGATGAATCCATGTCTTCTTACCATGGATTGATCACTTCCCCACTTCAGAAGCTGGGTGATTTCCATCAGTCTTACACAATAACAAGGTGAGGACAGCTTCTCTGCTGTGACTGTGCTCTGTGCTGCCTCAGGATGGTGGTGGGGCAGGTGACACCAGGCCAAGCTGCTTCCTCCTGACAATGGATTTGAGAGAGGCTGAGATCTCTCTGTATCGAAGCCCATACAGAAAAGGGAACAGAACTTTAGGAAGAATCATGAGGACATTGCAGACTGTCAGGGAGACCAAGATTCCTCTCTGTAGTCTGACAAAAACATTAACGCACAAGAATGATTCTACAAAAAGGGCCAAGAGTGGAAAGAAGTAAAAAAATAACACGGTGTTGTGCATTACAAATGTTACACTGGCTCTGGAGCAGATGCTCTCCCATATACCGGAGTGTTTGGTTTTAAAATACAGAATAGCATAGCAACAAAATATTACAGACAGGCAGAGAATGATAACTGTAGTAGAAAGCCAGAAACAGAGTTTCACAGCATCAGTCCTGTTCAGAGTTAATATTAGTATTACTGGAACTGAGCACATTTCCAGGACACAGGGCACAAAGCTGTGGGTAGTCCCTAGCACCAAGAAGAAAATCCCAGGGAAAGCTCCGGAACACATCCACAGTAATACAAGGATTTTTTTAGTTCGTGAGGGAGGCAAAATAACAATATAGCGCAAAGGAAACAAAACAGCGATGTACGTGTCCAGGACTATTGCGACAGCTGTGAACAGTCCTCCACAGTAAGCCACTGCCAGCAAAAATAACAGGAGGACACAAGCCTCCTTTGGGAGGTGTAGGTGTGCTGCATTGAGAGCAGCTGACAGGGTGTAGAACAGCAGGTAGATCAGATCAGAAAGCAGAGCGTTTCCCAGCAGCATGTACCTTGTTTCCTGGCGGATTTTAAACCGAGAGAAAATCACAAACAAGATGGTTGGGATGATGAGGACACCTGCCACGAGGCAGACAACTGGAGAGATTAAGAACATCTTCGTGTTTGTGCCTGGTGGGGTGAGAGACCATTCCTCCAGCAAAAGTAGCAAAGTTGTGTCATCCAAATTTGAGGAGCTGTTGAACTCTGTCTCCCTGAGGCGGATCAGAGTTCCATTCGCTCTCCTTACTGAGGCACAGCCGGGCAAGTCCATTTCCTTAGGACTTTGGGAGGATTCTGACTTGGAGAAAGAAGGATCTTCTATGTCGAGTCCTTAGAAAGGCAGAGGATGCAAAAAGCCCATGGAAGCAAAGTGATTTCTGTAGCCAATTCTACCAGTTGTCCTCAAGTACAGAAAGTTCAAACTTGCAAGTGAATTCTGTGGTGCCAAAAGATGGTTTTACCTAAAAAGGAGATTTTAATTTCTTTCCACAAAATCTAATATTTAGAAAAGAGAATGAATCTGTGGGTGGCTTACAAAAGACCAAATCACTCAGCTAGCTCTTTGAACAGAAGAGAATGGGTTGATCAGTTTCAGTAATTTGAGTTTTTCTCATCACATTATCAGTCCAATGAGGCAGATGAAATATTAGCCTGATTAAACAAATACGTGATGATATATATCAACATTCCACGTGTACTGATATAGAAGAGTCATAAATGTGATTGGGTAGTTTTGCACCAGTTTGTAGGCAACAACACAATTGATTTGAAGTGATCAATAAAAAAGGCTCTCAATCCTGTTGTAAAATTGTAGCGCAATCACTCTAGTGAATGAAATTATCTTATTTGCAGATGAAAACCATTTTTGGTTCAGTGAATCAATCCATGTTATTCATGAATGATAAACCTTCCCCTGCCTGTTTTCATGTGTGATATACAAATACTGAATTCTCATCCGTTGCAGCCTTCCACTCAATCTGTGCATTATCTGGGATGAATGACATACACTGTCCCATACCAGCATACCCCAGGGCAGCCTTGGCACTTCCAAGGTCCATTTGGAGACCAAATGATTCCTGGTTCCAATTGCTTCCTGGTTTCCTGTCCCCCACACTGTTGCTGCTCTGTGCTGCTTTTAATGCCAGATCTCAGTATCAGAGCTGGGGGTGCAATGACAGAATTGTAAAGGATCTGGACTGCAGAGAAGGAATATTTCAAGTTCTTCCAGGCATGGTGTGATCAAAAAGAAAAGCTGATTTTTTTTAATAGGCTCCCTTAACCTTGGCATTATTATATTCATTTTCTCCCCAATGCTACCAGCACACAGCAGTGCAGCTTGCCTCCACAGGAGCAAGGGCACAGCCCACCAGGTAGAATCAGAAAGTCCTGCAGTGCCATGGACGTGCTGCCTCAGGGCATGCCAAGTAACCAAGCAGACAGCTCATGAAACTCAGTATCACTCATCAAATCCTGGGCACATTTCATTTCCTGTCACACTGATAGCTGGCACCCAAGGAACTGGATGTTGAGACAGTTGACAGGGTGTGCCATATGGAACAAAAAGATAGAAGGAAAAACGAGTGATAATTTTAAGCACAGCATTTCAGTTGCTATGGTGTCTGGGGTAGGCAAAACAGAAGGTGATTATTTTTACTTACTCAATCCTGCATCCACTGAAAAGTATGTGAGCAATATTGAGGCAATTATACATTTGGTGTCAGGGTCATGCCCTGCATCTGCAATTGAGTCACGACACAGTTAATACCTTAAACAGACAGTAGCACTCAAAACTGTTGTTGCAAAATGGAAGGGAGGGAATGAAAACTCAGGTGCATAAATCACCTCCAACTGTAATTTCAGATCTCTGTTAATAGTGGAGGTGTTTGCTGCCTCCCAGCTCCTGGCACTCCAAGGATGTCCAATTAATGGGCAGACTCTCTAATTTCCATCAAAAATCACAATTTTATTTTCCACCAACTGCTTAGGATTCCATATGAAAAAACAACAGCTCATTGTCACATCAACTGCGCACCTTTGGCTGATAGAAAAATAAATCACAGATTGGTTTGGGTAGGAAGGGAACTTAAAGTTCATCCAATTCTAGATGAGGGACTGAAGGATCACTCTGTTGACATTCTCATGACAGAGGGAAGGCATCTCATAACTCTCTTGTTCAGCCCTCATACAGAGAGTACCACAGAGCCCAGCAGGCAGCACAAGTTCACAGCCCTGCATGTCCTGTGCTCAGCTATTCCTCTGCTCCAGCTGGCAGAGTCAGCCCTATGGCATGAGCTTCTTCAGTTGTACTTGTGCTGCTGGAAAAGCCTTAGCAATGCAGGAGGCCTTCAGTTTTACAAAAATGGACAGCAGCAAATAACTGGAAGAGAGATTCAACCCCATCAGGCCTGGGCAGGTCCAGCCAAAGCCACTCCCCTCAGATTTCCACAGTGGCTTTTAATTGTTCGGTAGAGTTGTGCTAGATTTAGAAATGTGAAAGGTTGGTGTCCTGGCACAGTGATATAACTGAGAACAGGTGGTTCTGAAGAATATATGTTTGTTGTCTCCTTTAATTTTCTTCACCTTAGGAGGCCTTTCCACATCTGGGCATTTCCAAGGGGCTGGCAGCTCTGAGCACCACTCCTGAGGATTCTGAACTGAGCTCCTTTTGCCATTGCCTCTCAGTGTTCAATAGTTTGTGGTGCCAACCTGAATGATCCTCTAGAAATTTCCTGTAAACCTGGCCTTAATGCTCTGGTTATTGATTTTTTAAATGCTCTCTAGTAAATTTATATTAGGTGGACGCAGTTTTTACGTATCTTGCTGATGCAGACAACACAGTATTAGCAGCCTCTCTTCTGGCTCTTACTCTGGCTCAATACAGTCTGTATTGATCTTCAAGCTGAACCACGCACTGTTAATTACTTTACTCATTTCTGCTTCACTAGGCATCCTGCTGAAAGCTTAGTTAATTATCCCGTGGGTTTGGGAGATCTCAGGTTGCATGCTGAGCACTGTAACTCCTGCAAAGACTGCACTACGTTGTATTCTGTTACTGACTGTAAACAGGCATTGTCAAACTGAGCAGACAAGGTTAGAAATGTTACTGTCTTACAGCAGCTGGCTCACACTTAACTGCCTACACACATAGAGAAGCTTCCTACTTCACAGAGTTTACCTGACTGATTCAGCAAGTCGACAGGTACACTGCTGCTGTGACAGGGAGCAGCAGACAGGAAAGGGAAGCAAACAGAATAATGCTAGGATTTCCCCAGCCCTTCATCCCAAGAGACTGTGTTAGAAGGGGATACCCAGAGGAATGCTCATATTCACCTTTGAGGCTCCCTGGGTGCCATCATGTCACTGTCTCAGTGTGATCACAGAGTCTTTGATGTAGCTGCCTATTCCAGCAACTCACACCATGTCCCAGCCTAAAAAATCTACCCTGTGCTGTGGGTCTGCCCCAGAGACTGCAGCCCCTGGCCAGGGGCTTGGGGAGAGTGGGGTAGAAAGGCTGCCTCACACCTCCTCAAACAGAAGTGTTTTGGATGAGACAGTTGGGTCCAACAAATCAATATTTTTACTGGAATGTTGTTTCACGGGTCTATTTCCAGCCATGTTTAGTAACAGAGCCTTGGCCTCAGGAGCCTTCACGTCTGTCAGAGTTTCTTCAGCTTCCTTCCACGAATGTCCCCCACCCCTTCTAGGCTCATGTAGGGCCAGAAGGCACCTCCCTTGCTGGTGAAGCTTTCCCAGTCGTGAACAGCCAAGGCCCATGAGCAGGCCAGCTCCTCCCAGAAGGGCAGGAAGAGCCAGGTTTCCTGCCTGTATCCATAGTCTCACTCTGGCCAATGAGGTACTGCTGTCAGTAAAGAAAGTAATCTCAGCAGTTTAACTGTGGTGTTTTTCTGGCTGAGCCTTCCCTTTTTCTTCTTCTTTAAACAGAAAGTCAATTAGAAGACTTTGCTAGGCCTTTAAGATTCCCTCTAAACCTTTCTGCAAGCCACAGGGAGAGGTACAGCTCGTCCATGCCTCAGCTATCTGTCCCCACTTGGCTCCAGAAGGATTGTTCAGTGCCTTGCTTGTTATTTGCTGTAGATAAGAGACATACACACTGCTCTTGTAACTGTACAAAGTTCACAAATCAGGCAGAGCAATTACTAAAGTTAAGGAAATAAAGAAATGGGTGTGAAAACTAAGCTCAGATTAAAATGCTTTGAAAGGTCAAAGGAACATGGAACAAAAGAAAACAGGGATTAGAAAGTGCTGGTTTGAAGACATTTTAATGAGGCTCCCAAACAAAAGAGGACATGGAGAGAGACTGGGAGGACTTGGCATTAAATCCATACATCACTTTTTCTAATTCCAAATACCATCAAGCCATGGTGATGACAAAGTTAAAATAAATTTTGCACCAAATCGGTCTTGCAGGTGCAATATTGAGAAATAAGCTGGATGTCAGAAGAACAGAATTCCTAAATATTTGACAAATATTTCAATAAAAATTTAGAGAAGTAACAGTGTAAGTCCCAGACACCTCCTGCTTTCCTGCAGGTCACTGCGTGGCCCTGACTGCTGCAAGCTGCAGCCAGCACAACTCACCCATTTTAATTCCACAAGCCTGGCAAGGCAGAGAAAGACAGGTTTTCCTCTTTTATGCTGAATGGACACACAAACATGTGTGCCTGTGACAAGCTGCAGATGTGACCAGAGATTTATAGCAAACAACTGCTACTTTTCATGGTCATTTATGGACAGACTGACAGGACTCCAAGAGAAGCCATCCTAGACTGTTCCTTTGATTTAATGATCTCTCCTGCCTGCTTACTTCTCATAGCAATGCATCTGTGAAACAGGACAAATAGCCTACTAAATGAGGCCTATTTGTAAAATATTACTTACTTTCCTGAAGCAGTTTAATTTATAAGGAGAAATCTTGCTTAAATTTTGAACACTATACAACTACACTGGTGCTAACAGAAATCTAAATCCTTTAGATAAAGAACAATTACATCATTCTTATCTGAGTATTTAGCAGCTATCAGAAGAGATTAAACCAATTTTCAGTACCACACAGAGTGATGAGCAGAACTAGAAATACTGAATTTGTGACTCCTTGACTCCTCCTTTAAGACAGGAAAAGGATCCTTGTCCTGAGAGAAAGCTTCTCAAGTGGGGGAGGTACATCCACCAAACTGCTAAGAGCACCCATCCATCTCAGGCTGTCTGTCTTTCTGGTGGTGGCTGGCACCAGAAGTTTTATGTTCCTGTCCTGTCTCACCTGCAATGATCTCCAGCATTGGCTAGGAAGGGCTGCTGCAGGCAGGCAAAAGCAGAAGTTATCTGGCTCCATCTCTGTCTTATTATGTTTTGTCTCATGTAAAAAGCCAGGCAGCACAAGAGAGGTGTAGCATGATAGTTCCTTGAA